AAACCTGTTTTTCCAAGACAGCTCTAAATAGGGAACACAGCATCTGATTAAAATCAAAAAACACCCAAACAAACACAAAAATCCCAAGCACTAAAACAATCCAATCAAAACCCTGAAACCAGTCCCCATTTTCCCCCAACTGGTGTAAGATCTTCCTGTGACTGAAAGCAGGCAAGGCAGCCTGTACCCCAGAAGAGTTCACATTTGTGAATCATCTGACTCCAACTTCCCCTATGGGATATTTCAACAAAATTACCCTTAAATTCCCCATTATTAAGTGCCCGATATTCAACATCTCACCCATGTTAAGCCCTATTACCCTATCAAGACCTGCCTTTACTGGTGTTTCACATCCCTTCCAGGCACTTGAAATTCCAATGGCAGACTACTTTTCCTGGAAAGAAGAAATTTGACTCTTTTCCAAATCTGGAGACAAGAGTGGGGCAGAATACTGCGGCTCACCCTGGACTGCAGAAAAAGAACTCCTTAGCTGTAACATTGCTGTCATTCAGTCTCATAATCACAAAGAAGGAACTTAACCTATGGTTGGAAGTTTCCACCACTCTGAGCAAAGAAAAAGGACCACACTCACACTAGTAAACACCTGCTTGAAAATGCTCTTGAACTGGTCAGTGTCAATCACAGACACCGCAACGAGGGAAGGCTAAGCACAAATGTTTAGAAAACTGTCAGGTACTCTCTCAAGGTAATATCCAAGATCTCCCAAGCTGCCTGACATCAAAACACAAGTCTGTGAGTGGTACAAGCTCTAAAAGGGGAACGTGTTCAGTACTTACAGCCACATCATCTGTTACTTTGATACAGAGGTTCCCATCACAGTGTCGGTATTTGAGAACAACACGCACCTGAAATGACAAACATTTTAAGAATTAGCACTTACAGATAACAATTCTCAGAATATACTGAAGGAAACCTGCCCACCTTCACACTACCCTTTATCACAGTTATGTACTGCTCCATGTTTTCAAGCACATCTGTGGCAGTGCTCAGCTCCGGTGCTGTGGGAGCTGTAATCCCATAGCCAAGGTGGTGTAGAAGTTGACCCACCACTTTCCCTAACACTGTAGACTGGTCTTCTAGCAGCATCAGCAAGGTCAACACTGGGCACATTCAAAAACCTTGCAAATACAGCAACAACAGTTGCAGAGACCTTGGAGACAGCAGGATATATCATGAGAGTCATGTTGAGATGAGACACCCCCTCGCTGTGTATCACACCCCAGAAAAACCAAATGAAAGCCTGTGTTTGTATGCATGAAACACTTCAAAAACACTCTGCATGAAGACTTGAAAGGGATCAGCTGAGTGGGGTAGGCTAAACATCACCATTTTTTCTTCTATGGCACCTGAATTGTTATCACAGTTACCCCTGCAGTCACCTGCCCTGAGCTCTAATCCATTCAGCCCCTCTGGACCCTCAAATCACCAAAGTTCCCAGAGCCACACTAATAAAAATCCACATCCTCAGTGACTGAGCATTAAAGGATTCCTCCTGAGCACAGAATCAGCCACAGAGGCTCTGTTTGCAGCCTCAGCTAACTTCAGTAACTGGAAACAAAGAAAGGTGGCATTTGAGAATATTCTCAACTCACACTGTGAACAGTTTTTATTCTACGGTAATTTGTGCTAATGGTCAACAACTTCCTTTGCTATAAATATATTTTGAAATTCCTGTTCCGCAATGGATCTCATCACAGACTGACCCTTTTTGTTTAACAAACTGCCACCTTCTGACCACAGCAGCAGTGTAACAGCACATCTCCTTGTGGAAATGCAGCCCCAAAAGCACACCAGAGGCTGCCAGAGGGAGCAGGTACACACCCAATGTATCAATAACCTGCTCTTGCAAAGGGCAAGACTTCTCAGTACCTGCCTGGAGAACACACACCCATCTCCCACAGTTCTTGCTCTTTCTTTGGCTTCCCAGCAAGCCCAATTACAAAACTGCTGGGGGTAATTCTCGCCAAATTAACAGGAAGGTATGTGTGTTATGACAACAGGGTCTATATAAACCCCTCAGTAACCAGACAAATTCACTGCCATGGATGGTAAGAGATTACCTTTGGAGGCCCTGTAAGGAAAGGGGGAGAGCAACTCCTGGCTGCAGACATCCCTCCTCTTTCATTTAATTGAATGTCACAGAGCCTAGGAAGGCAAAACTGGGCAATTTTATTATCAGCAGCAATCACATATGGTGCCTCTGTGCTAATTAAAAGGCAGACACTAATCTGCTTTAAATAATTGGATATTAATTTAATCTTCTGAAGGTTTTACCAGTTCCCCTATTTTTGGTGAAGAAGACTAGGCCTTTTTTACAGTAGTTTTCTCAGGTGTGAGTGCCACATCACATTTTTGTGCTGCTTTTTAGGCAAACTATAATGCTTTTTCTGAAGACTTAAGTTAATTTTAATATTTGCATAAACCATATTCCCAAAAAAAGTCACTGGAATCAAGAAATAATCATAAACCGAGAAGTTAAGCCCTTGAGGAATTATTCTTTAGGGTGCAAACACCTTCCAGTCTGAAACATTACTGCAAGCAGCATTGCAACACAAGAGCTAATGAAAGGACAAATTCAAATTATACAGGTTATAAACGCTATAAACTTATAAAATAAACCAATTCTTGATACTTCAGCATAACTCTTAACCTCGGTTTCTAATGCACAGGTACAACGTCTTTGAAGTTCGGTTCTTGAGGTTCATCCCAGCTGCCAACAACTCGGGATGTTGTGGGGGCTATAAAAGAGAGCTTCCTCCTGTTCCATAGGAAAGGATGGTGCAACACCAACGAGTAATCCCCTTCCTTTTCCCCTGTAGTCGATGAGTACTGGTGAGGCCTCACCCAACTGAGGTACGCTTCAGTTCTGGGCCCCTCACTTCAAGAAGGACGTGGAGGTGCTGGAGAGAGTCCAGAGAAGGGAGATGGAGCTGGGGGTGCTCAGCCTGGGGAAGAGGAGGCTCAGGAGTGCCCTTATCATTCCCTACAACTGCCTGACAGGAGGGTGTAGCCAGGTGGGGATCGGCCTCTCCTCCCATGCAACCTCCACACAGGCTTAAGCTGTGCTAGGGGAGGTTCAGGTTGGACATTAGAAGAAATGTCTTCATAGAAAGGGCGATTAGACACTGGAATGGGCTGCCCAGAGAGGTAGTAGTCACCATCCCCGGAAGTGTTCAAAAAATAACTAGACGTGGCACTTAGTGCTATCTATGGTGTACTTAACGTGGCTACGTTCGGTCATAGGTTGGACTCGATGACCTCGGAGGTCTTTTCCAAACTAATCGATTCCGTGATTCTGTGATTCTCGCCTCCCCCGTGCAGTCATCAGCGAACCCTCCCTAGCCCGACACCGCCCGCGGCCCCGCGAGCTGCGCGCAGCTAGAGCCGCCTCCAGAGCGCCGCTCCCGCGGCCGAGACACGCATCCTGCCCTCCCGGCCCGGGCTGTCCCACCTTCATGGGGTCGGCGAGGTAGAGCTTCTCGGCGGCGCGGGTGAACTCCTCCCAGGCCTGGAAGTGCGGCATGGCCGGGCCCGGTCGGCTCCCCGCGGCCGCGGCAAGATGGCGCCGGGGGCGGGCGGGCGGGTGTGCTGCTGAGACCCCGCCTGCCGTTGGCCCGCGGGGCGCGTAACTCAGGGCTCCCGGGCCCGCCGGCCGCGCCCTCCCGCCACAGCGACCCCTGGAGGCGCGGCGGGATGGCGGCAGGCGCTCCCCGCCCGCCGCGCAGGGAGGGAGTGGCGGCCCGGGCCCGGAGCCCGTGGGTGACGGGTTCAAGCCCCGGCGGAGCGCTCACCCGCCCGGGGCTGGCACCTGCGGGGCTCGGCCAGGCCAGGTACGGGCTGTCTCCGCGGTAACTTCACGGCCTGAGGCTACTGGGGACGCGGGTGGGCCAGCGGAGAGCCTGGGGGTCCGGCGGGAGGTGAGGGCAGGGCCCAGGCCGTGCACCTGAGGTATTGTTTGCTCGGCCGGCCCTCACTGCTGAAGCAATTCCCAGGTTTTCCCAAGCTGGAAGGGCCTGCGTTTAGCTGGAGGTTGGCTTCGCGTGGAACAAAAAGGATGTGTGGGAGCCCTTCGCTGCCTTCCCTGGTCTGCCTTGCTGAGGGGTGCTGAGGCATTGTTAAACTAAAGCTGCTCTTTGAGGAAGAGGCTGAATAACATAGAACAGAATTATGAAATAGGTTGGGGAACTCTGCTTTTCAGTCCTGTGTGTGTAAAGCTTTTATATAAAGCCAACTTAAAAATTCCCTTCAAAAATGAAATGAGGGAGGAAAAAGAAGATCCGAGATTTCTAGCATTATGTTTTGAAATCCCATTCCCTGCAATGATTTTTGTATCTTTCTAGCACAAAGCTTGTAGCCAGACCCAGAGCTAAGCTCTGCTCATGTCACACAGCTTGTGCAAGGGCTGCAGTGACAACAAGCATGTAAAACTTGCAGTCTCTATTCCCTATTTCACAGGGACTCACTGAAAACCCAAAAGCTCCTGATAATGATTCATAGCTCCAAGTTTTACTGAACAACTCAAAGCTCACCAGCGTGGCCAAACAAACCGGAACGTTTAGGGCAGATCTGCATTTGAGGGGACAAATTATGCAGGCTGTTGCAGTCTCCACTAGCAACGTGGGGAAATACTATAGCTGCAGGCTTTTTTTGGCCACAAAAGGCACAATACGTGCGAGAGAGAAAGAAGAAATGTGGCATAGAAATAAAAGGGTGGATGGGAGGTAAGGGGAGAAAAACTAGAATAAAATTCCCTGAGTCAGTAAAGCAGAAAATAATTGTTACTGTGGGGATCTACTCTGAAAAAGTCTGCAGTGATTAGGCTGACAGACTTCATAAATTGCAGTTTCTGGGTGTTATGTGATCTAAGCAATTCTGGTAAAGGGCTTTGCACCAATGAATGGGGGCAGTGCAGGGTGGAAAGATTTAAGGATTTGGTTTTATTTTATTTTATTTTTGTTTTCTAGAGCTGCTCACAGGGTTTAGGCACTGATGTGTCACAGAAGCCAGCTCCAGAACTACAAGAATTGTCTTTCAGAGGTGCTGAGAATCAACAGATTATCAGGTGATAGATATATGGACAGAGCCTAAAGCAATCATCCCAAACACAGAACCTAACCTGGACGAAATGGTTCTCTACTCTCCTTGGGTTTGGGTAACTGTTTACAACAGTAGAGTAGGAATTGCATTTGGTAGTGTTGTACAGATATGTAGGGGATGTAAACACATGGCAAGGAAAGGTGTGGGGAGCACAAACCCTGTAACACATACAACATTTTGCAGAACCATTGTTCACCAAATTTGGACCCAGGTTTTCGAGTGGGACATGGGTGTACCTTCTGAAAGAGCCTCAGTTTTGGGCTGCCCAGTCATAAACACTTTTCAGACTATTTTAGTTTTGAGTCCGATGTTCAGGATCTTCAGTCCTGATCTTCAGTCCGATCTTCAGTCGATGTTCCTTGACACAGAAGTGTTTAGGAGCTTGCCAATGCCCAGTCATTAGCCCTGCAGTTGAGGTAATGCAACAGAGCAAGATTAAAAAACAAACCCATTGTGGTATTTTTTCCCCCATAACTTAGATGATTTCCACAATCCATTTTGGGATGCAGCTTCCAATAGGCACAATTTTGGAAGTGACAAACTGCAGCAGTCAGGGCAAAGAAGGGAGTGATTTCGTAACTGGCCTTGCCTCTGAGAGAAATGGGATGTGTCACAATGACAGTTCTATACAGCCTGATACACAGCTCTGCATAGCCTGTTCCTGGCTCTAGATCTTAAGGATTTTGTCATCCCTGCCATTGCCACCACCACCTATGGCCCCACATTGTGCTGCCACAGCTGTTTGTAACTCTGCACTGGGGATCAAACCAATGCTGGGATTAAAAGCAACACCATTTTTAGTAATGCTTTTTATTACTGAGATGAGTTTGGTTTTCTAGTTTACTGTGTTGCCTTATGTACTCTTATGCTGACACAGCTGTTGAAAATGTACCTCTTTTGGTGGCAAGAAAGAATATGGGAATTCCTACTAGTTTTGTTGGATTGCCACCAAAATAAGGGGCTGTATATGAAATCACCCCTGCCCCCAGTTCCCCTGAAAGCAGGGCCAGTTGCTGAACTCTCCACAATTAAGAGAAGCTATTTCTGAGCCTCAGGGAATGTCTGATACCTGTAGTTAGTGCACTGCTGTGCTCTGTTGTTCTCCTTTTGCCTGGAGAACAGAACATTTTCTTGACATGTTTGGAAAGTAAGTCAGACCAGTGCAGCTATTCAGCTGTAAGTTGTATTTGATGTATGTCCAAAACTGTATTTTTCAAGTGAGTTCCAGTGAGTGCAGTAATAGTAGAAGTCCTTCAATGGGCTTTTTGTTTAGTGAAATAAAATGAACAGTTGTTTATCACTGTGTGGAGTGTTTGGTATGCAGCCAATAATAATTTAGTAGTTAGTAAGAATTCTGCTAAAACATACATACTTATCTTGCTTTCTTTTCTTGAGTTCCTGCTTTCTGCCATGCAAGAAATCATTCCAACGGTCTTAACGGCCCATTCCATCACTTGCAAGTGAAATCTGGGATGCTGTAAAACCTCATTTACCCTTTCCTCAGTCTGTCTTTGTATATCCTTGCTGTATTCCCTAGACCACCTTAGATAAGGTCTTTTTTTGCTTGGATTTAAGGCCGTAAAAAGCTATGAAGCAATAATGTAAGTACTTGTGTGATGAAGACTTTTCATGTGGTTTTTCCTCAGGCCCTTTCCCCTCATCAACCTGTATGTACATGATTAATGATCTCTCTTTGATCAAGCTCCTACATGCATTACCACTGCAAGTTCTGCTTCGTAAAGTTGTATTCAGGCATCTGGATTGCACGTGGTGATTTCTTCAGGTGTTTTATCTAGTGTCTTCCTTTGAATTAATGACAAACTGAAATAAAATAGTAGAGAAAACTTTGCATTAGATCTTAAAATATCATCCACAGAGATCTTACAACTCTACCAAGTTCATGGAAGTTGCAGCTTCTTAGCATCACTCAGGGTCAGACATTTGGTTTCCTGTTCTTCACATTAATGCTTTTATTCTACCTAAAGCAGGTGCTCTTTTTTTTTTTTTTTTTTTGTTTTTTGAAACTCTTTTCCTTCTCTGGATAAAGAATTCAGATAAGAGTATTAAATTCATTAAAATAGTTATCTGTCACCATGACATACTACCAGTGGGTAACACAAGATGGTCTTTCCAGCTAAAAGAAGCTTTGTATAGAACACTGTGCTTTATCATGCTAACTTCTGGATTAGATGGGAAACAATGGGACAAACTGATCTCAGTTATGCTGCTCTAAATCTAGAGTTATTCCACTTATTTCATTGGATTTTTTTTATTTTTTTTTTTAATCTGTAACAGTATAATTAAGCACAGACTTTGGTGCTGCGATGATAATCCTGTTCTTGGACCGGGAGCAACATAAAGTCAGCACAGTAATTCAGGTCTGAGAGAGTGCTAATGAGGAGTTAGTTACGAGGCAATTATTACTGCCAAGAATGCTTAATGCTTAAAGGAGATACAGTTGCTTCTTTCAAAATACCTTCAACCCAGCCCTTAGCAAAGTTAAGGAGAATACCAGGCATTGTGATTATACATTCCATTCTTGTGTGTATGGTCTAAACCAGCCTGGGATTTGTACTGATGCAGACTTTAATCACACGGGGCTATTTTTTCCTTTGAAAGGGCATTTATGTGCATAGGGATGCAGATAAATCTCGAATACACTGAGATCCGAGGTCTTGACATCTCACTGTCTTCTGTGTCTCCGTGCCCATGAGAACCGAGCCTGCAGTGAGAAGCAGTTTGTGCTCCTGGACGGGTTATAACACGCCAGACTGAGCCACAGGTTTCACTCCACAGCTCCTGAAGGAGCACAAAGCACGTGGCTCCTTTCTAGAGGTTTTATGTATTACACAGCTTGGCTGAAGGTTTTGCCAGGTTGAGCCATACACAGTTAATTACATCGATGCCGGTTTTCTATTCTTTTGGACACAAGCATCTTAGAGAGTGATTCAGGCTATATTGTCCTAACAAGATAATTAAATATTTGTTGTTAAAAGACAATTCATGGCAGTTAAGGCTGTATTGTGGGCAGCAGGATTCCAGGGCCCTGTCCTGGTGCCTGTCACAGCTGAGTCACAGCTTCAGGGCGGGTGAAACCCGGATGCCTGTTACTATCTTCTTTCCTTTTCCTCACTGCCCCTGCTCCTGTGAAAGGAGCACACTCCAAACATGGCTCTGATCAGGTCACACCGTGATCTACACTTGCCAGATATTTCAGCTGTGACCTTGCCCAAGGCAGGATTGTTTCCTAGTTTGCTTTAACCATCAGAAGAGACGATGTCCTTTAATATGGTCTAATCTTGCTTTTTTAGGGAGTGTATGTATGTACATAGTAATAGCCATTACTCTGGCAAGAGAGTCATCCCTGCCTATGGCCGTGTTCTATCCTGAACAGAAACTGCCCATTCATTTTTGGATGCTGTTCTGACAGTGTTCTTGTTAAGCTGCTCAGTTTTGATAGCTGGAAAGATTCATCCCTTCCTGTTAAGTGGTCACTTCAGTTCCTTCAGCGTAACAAGGTATTCAAATGAATGTGCTGTCATGCAGGAGACATATGTTAGAGAGCAGCCTCTGCTGTCACCACGCTGGCTGTTGAGATCTGAGAATGAAATAGCAGTCCTCGTGATGGCCTTCAGGGAAAAGAGGAGCACATCTGGTAGCCAGCTCATGAACCAGCATTTGAAGCACTCTGGAAGCAGACAGACACTCTCAGCATTAACTGCTCATAGATTTTGTATCACCATTACGTGAAGTTTCTGAGCGTGCTTAAGATGGGCTTAGATCATCTGTTGGCACATGCTGCAAGCACATTGATTTCTTACATTAATCTTTAAACAGCAAAGGTTTTTTTTTGATAGGCATGACTTAGGGCTGATTTACCTGTGCTGTTCATGCTGCCGTGGCTGATGTAATTGAGGAGTACAAAGCACCAGAAGAGGCAAGAGAGATTAGATGCTTACAGTGATACCTTCCCAAGTCCTCTGGAGCTGTGTAACTGCAGCTGGGGTAGAAGAGCCTTCCGAATTTTTAAGTTAACTTGACTTCTAATTCTGAACTACACGTCTGAGCTTGGATCAGATAGAAATTGCCTCCTCCTCAGTTCAGCCTATAGAAAGAGAGACAGAGCAGCTGTAAAGCTAAGGCCTGAACTTTCCTGGCAGGTGAACCCTGCTGACTTTCTGCTCAAGTGAGAGTAACTTCCCCTTCCCTCTGTGCTGCTGTGAGAGCAGCAACTGCAGCTGGTGGGAAATAGTAGCTTTCAATGTTTGCAAAGAAAATTCATGCCTGTCCCTGAGTCTGCACAGCCTCACTTGAGTAGACTCTTGATTTAGCTGTGGCAGTACAAGAGCTGGTAGTCCCAGCTACTTGTCATTGCCTTTTCCCAGGAATTAATGCCCTCTCAGGATGTGTTTGCAGAAATGCATGTATAAGTACCCCTCAACCCACTTCAATCAAACTGGGCTAGCAAAAACCTCCTACTTAATCCATTTAAGTCTGGCCCAGGTTGACCGAAGTAGCTGAGGGGGTGTCCACAGGAGCCTACTCTGCAGGCAGATCTCAAGAGCTGGTAATTTCCACAAGAAGTAGGACGGGCTGAGCAGGGGGATGGATCTGAATCAGCAGCTTCTCCCATTCCCTGGGCTGCAAGCAGAGGAGGACTCCAGCACATGGGCCCACTCGACAGGCACAGCCCCCCTGGCTGGCACAGCTCGGGAAGCTGCAGCAGAGCAGCTGTTTCCCCATATACCCCTTCCCAGACTTAGAGCAGGAGAAGAACTTTGTGCTGAGCAGCTGTGGCCAAGAATGCCAGCAGAATAAAGACCCTGCAAGCTCCTCAAGCTCCCTTGTTCAAATTTTGTCCTTGGTCAAGCCTGGTGAGGGTAGAGGTCCAAATTATGGTCAAATTAGCATCAAAATGGATGCTTGACATTTGTGTTGTGAATTCCTGGAACAACTGCAAGCACA